CCCGGGACCCGCAGCGAGGACGTGGGGGGAGGGGGCCGAGAGGGAGGACCGAGGGGAGGCACGGCGGGGGGCTGCGCCTCGGCCCCTGATGCGCGCCCCCGACCCTGGCCTCGGAGCGCCGTGCCCAGGGGCCCAGCGTCCCCGTCTCCCACCCAGGGGGCTCCCACTCTGCTCGTTTCGGGGGGCGGGATGCGCGCGGGGACACATCTCACCCTGCCCCACTCCGGGTGTCTCGACTCCCTGCAGAGCGGGTCTGGGGGTGGACGAGGAGACGGTGAGTTGGGGGGTCCCCGGCCAGGGAGCTTGCGCGGGGAGCCCCGGCTCCTGGCTGCCGAGGGGGACCATTGGCCGTCTCCGTCAGCCCGGGATCCCTGTTCGTGTGCGGGGCTGCAGAGCGCTCTCCTCCCACCAACCTGTGTCCTTGCGTGTGTGGGCTGGCATTCGTATTCCTTGGTTTTCCGGAGTGAATTTATACAGTAAATGTGGACAATACACTGGTAACATCATCACATTAAACAATCCATTTTTTTGTAGCTTGTGCTCATGCCAAAGGATGTTGTGCGTTTTGCTAAGTACTGGTCAGTCCATGGTAGGAATGAATCTTAGTTGAGTATCTTTTTCAGGTCAGTCTTCAAAATACTTTTCTTTTTAAAAGTCTATACCATTATGTTGTCTTGGGGTGTCACATCAGCGTTGCACAACTTGGAGGATGGGGCTGCAGCGTGATCAGAACCTAGGCCTGCAAAGGTGGAGACTAACAGATAAACTTGGGTGGCTAGAAGGAATTGTAGAAGGCTGATTGATTGTCACACCTTCCAGAGGCTTGTACTTGAGCTATCTTAGAAACGGAACTTTCTTGGATCCTTTTTGTACTGTATCTTTAGGGTGAAGAGACTTCTAGCTTTGAATTTAAACAGTTAAACACAGAATCCATGACAAATTAGTACTCTCATGTAGTTAAAAATTAAAGAAAAAAACCAGAATCCAGAGTGATCCAAATGAGTGCCTGTAACAATGGTAGCCGTTTCCAGTACTGGATTGATAATTTCCCATTTTTCCACTCTCCATCATTCTCTTCTCTCTCCTTTCCATTCCTATTTCATGTTAGGACTTTGGCCCTTACAGGGGTCTTGACCCAAATATTACTTAAACAAGCTGAACTGGAACTATATTTGCTCAACTATGAATTAAATCTAAGTGCTCAGAAATGTCCTTGGCAAACCACTTTTATCTGAAACAGTATACTTTCTAAAAAGTTAATAACCTGAACATTTGATTCTGTGAATCATATAAATGTGAATTCAGAAAGTTGACGTGTTGAGCCCTTAGCTCATTTCAGGCACTGAACTAGGTACTAGCTATAATCTAACAGTGAAGAAGACATGGTGCTGGTACCACCTTGAGAATCCCTCATTAGTGAGGGGAGGGAGCACACCAGAACACATTACAGTGCAAGGTGGTAGGTGCCGTAAAAGAGATTTCTCCACTGGGGTGCTTAGGAGACAGACACCACTGAAATGTCATTTAAGTAGATGTTATTTCACTTGGGTCTTGAAATAAGCAGAAGTTAAAAGGGTGAAAGATTATTTTCCTTTTTTTTTTTTTTTTTGAGTTGTAGTCTCACTCTGTCGTCCAGGCTGAAGTGCAGTGGCACACTCCCGTTCACTGCAGCCTCGACCTGCTGGGCTCAGGCAATCCTTCCGCCTCAGCCTTCCAAGTAGCCGGAACTTCAGGTGCGTGCTACCATACCCTGCTAATTTTTTGGTTTATTGTAGAGACAAGGTCTCACCATGTTGCCCAGGCTTGTCTCGAACCTGCGGGCTCAGGCAATCCTCTTGCCTCGGCCTCCCAAAGTGCTGGCATTATAGGCTTGAGCCACCGCACCTGGCCTAAGATTGTTTTCATGTGGAATGTATATTCTAGGGAATAAAGGCATTAATACATTTGGGATTTGTCAGGATGACCACTATATCTGGAGCAGAGTGACATGAGATAAACCTATTAAGGTAGAAATTCAGTAGTGTGGAAGTTAAAAAGAAGCTATTTGTTTTGGCATCCTCAAAGTACATGAATACTCAAGTATTTTCAGTAGAGTGTTGGAAAGGGGCTGTACTGCAGGGAGTTGAAGAGTGAACAGGAAGTAAAGACAGAAAGTTTAGACTGCTTCAGGAAATTTGTCATGAAAAGAAAGCAGAGAAGGCTGCCTGAGGAAGAGAAAGGGCCAAAAGAGGGATCTGTATCACATGCATGAACACATTTGGTAAGGATGTGGGAGACTTCATTGTTTATAGACAAAGGGAACATAGCTGTGGAGAGGGAGAAACTGGAATCTTAAGACTCATAAAAAAGGCCATAGGATCAGAAACTCGGACAGGAGGGTAATAAAAGGAGGGGTATCTTTTTCTGTGAGACAAGTTGAATGGTATGTGAAGCTAAGTATGCTTAGAGATCAGGGGAAGAAAGAAGGTAAAGTGCTCATGACTGGAAACCATTGTTTTTTAGTAAACAAGTATGTAGTATCTATTCTAGTTTATATCTATTGATGGTCAATAAAATATTCAAAAGGTCCAACTTATGATTCAGTTTAGCTGTGTGGGCACCATATCACTTTTATATATGCTTTCAGTGTATACCTTACTCACCTCTGATTTGTTTGAGTGTTGACCTTTCCTTAACCCTCACCTTCCTTGGCTTTTGACGTTACTCTCCTCTGATACTGTTCTTGCTTCTATCTGTCCCTGAAGTATCTTTTTTTTTTTTTGAGAAAGCAGGATTAATTGAGAAGACAGAATAGCTTCCACAGTGGGAGGGGACCCCAGTGCGTTGCCCTGAAGTATATACTGCTGCTATTGCTGGTGCTTAGCCTCCACTTCCCTTCCTACTCCTTGCTTGGGAGGATCTCATTCACTCTCATACCTTTGACTTCCATCCATGTAATATGCTGAGTATTGGGGAGATCTGAGTCTTTTCCTAGATATAACTGGATGTCTTTTGACAGACATTACAAATGGCCCCCAAAGAAAAGGGTGCCCAAACTAGAACATATTATTGTATCTCTCTACCTTCTGCCCCTCTAGCATATTCCTCAGTAAATAGTAGTTATTCCCCCACCATTTCAATCTTGACTTTTGTGCTTATCCAGTCACCAAGTCTTGCTGATTCTCTCACATCTTCCTCCTTTCTATCCTTAATGACGCTCCTTGAGTTCAGATACCTGCCTCATTCACCTGGATTATTGCTGTTGTCTTTTAACTGGCCTCCAGTTTCTAGTCACACAGCCAACCCAGTCCATTCTTCTTATTCTGTCTTCTTTCTATTAAGCCTGATTATGCTGCTTTCCCATGTGAAATCCCTCAGTGGCTCTGCAGATACTTTAGAATGAAATACAAACTTTTGCGTAGCATATAGGAAAGCTCTTGAACACCGCTTCCTCCCACTCATTGAGTATATTTTTGTCTCTAGTCACACAGCCAATGGAAATGAGATCAATGAGAATCCCCCATTGGTGAGGCGAGGGAGCATACCTGAACACATTGCAGTACAAGGTGGTAGGTCCTATAAGAGCAGATTTCCCCACTTGGGTGCTTAGTAGATACCACTGAAATGTCACTAAGTAGATGTCATTTCAGTTGGGTCTTGAGATGAGTAGAAGTTAAGAGCGTGAAAGGTTATTTTCATGTGGAATATGTATGCTAGGGAATGAAGACTTTGATACATCTGTCTTTAGCCAGCCCAATCCATTCTTCTCACTTTGTCTTCTGTAAAATACAGACTTTTGCATAGCATGTAAAAAAACTTTTCAATGCAGCTCCCTCCTGCTCATTGTGTATATTTTTGCTTGACACCTATATATTCATCAGGATTCTGCTCATGTATCTCCTTTTCAGAAATGTTCCCCAATTATGGTGAAATTCCCCATCCCCCAACTTTTAAGTTGCAAGCCCAGAAATACCACATGCATGGCCCTGCCTCAGCTGTGTAGGTACTATACTGTATCCTGGTCTGCCCACCCATGTGTTTTGAGGATAGATGATGTCAAATACCTGGCTCATCATAACCTCCATTACTTGAACAGTGAATTAAGATTTGCTGTTTTTGTTGCCCCAGATGTTTCATTGGCATATTATTCAGAGTAAAAGGCTATTAATTTTATATGGGGACTATAATGTGTTTTTATTAAAAATTTCCAATATTTCCGATAATTGTTAATAAATCAACCATTCAATACAGTATTGTGCAATACAGTGTTGTCCATTTTAATTTGTGTGGCTTTCTGTTTTTTGTTTGTTGTTTGTTTGTTTTAGGTTATTCAGCTTCTAAAAGCTGGAAAAGCCAAGGAAGTCTCCTATAATGCACTAGCCTCACATATAATTTCAGAGGATGGGGATAATCCAGAAGTTGGAGAAGCTCGGGAAGTCTTTGACTTACCTGTTGTAAAGGTTAGTAGTGAATAGAACTAATTTGATATCTTTTCCTTATATATCTTGCAAGCAATACATAGTTTCTGTGTAATTCTCAGGGCCTTTGCTAAAGTACTGCTTTCAGTGGAAAGTTGTGGGATGAATAAAGCCCTTTAACATCTCAGTAACCTGTGTTAGCTTCACACCCTTTCAGTTAAATCAAGATGTAGTAAGGTTTCTATGTATTAAAAGTAATTTTAGATCATCCTTTATACCTGCTGTAGGAATGATCTCATGTTATCACTGCCTGGAAGATCTCTAAGCCAAGGAAACCTGTCCTGGGAAGCAGGTCCATTGCCTTGAATCAGATAGGTTTTGAATTATCATAAGGGAGTGTATTTGATTCCAAAAGCAGGCTAAGCCCTGTTGAGAGGTAACTCTTGGGACAGGGTTCCTTTCCATCCTCAATGTGGCAAGTGGTCCTAATTTTCAGTTAGACTAACTGAAGGGAGTTCATCCCCCATTAACTATGTTGTTTACTCTCTGACAAGGTCACAATGACCTTTAGTCACACTGTCCAGTTGTTGACCGTTGGACTGCTACCCAACTTAACCTGTTGTTTATTTATTTATTTATTTATTTATTGAGTTGGAGTCTCACTCTGTCACCCAGGCGTGCAGTGGCATGCTCATGGTCACCTCAGCCTCGACCAGCTGGGCTCAGGCGATCCTTCCACCTCAGCCTTCCAAGTAGCTGGAACTACAGGTGCATGCTACCATGCCCAGCTAATTTTTTGATTTATTGTAGAGACAAAGTCTTGCCAAGTTGCCCAGGCTGGTCTGGAACCCCTGGGCTGAAGCAATCTTATTGCCTCTACCTCCCAAAGTGCTGGGATTACAGGTGTGAACCACCGTGCCTGGCTGGGTAGTTTGTTATCGGAAGCGGTACTCCAGCTGGTGGGTGCATTGTTTGGGTTTTGTTTATCTACCTACTGTGCTGCTCTGTAGCTACCAATACATAAGTTGACTGCCATCAAATGCGTGTTTTTAAAATTTGTTAGTTTTGTAATTCTGATGCTTCAATTTTATTTCTTCTCTATTATGTGCTTGCTTTAAAGTAGTTCTGTACAACTTCCATATTACCCCCTTGTCTTCAAGTTATTAAATATTTTGCCTTAAAAAAATCAGTATGAAATTTATTGTGGTTTAATAATAATAACAGCATTAGGAGATAAGATTGCCAGCGAGGCATGGTGATGCACACCTGTAGTCCCAGCTATTTGGGATGCTGAGGCCAGAGGATGTCTTGAAGCTAGGAATTCAAGGCTGCAATGACCTGTGGTCGTACCTGTGAATAGCCACTGCATTCTAGTCTGGGCCACATGGTGCAACCCTGTCTCTTAAAAAAAAAAAGAAAGAAAAGAAAAAGGATGAAACATTACCATTAAGTCACATTGCGGAGCGAGAAGCTGCCTGACTGCTAGGAAGTGGTAATCTCACCAGTATCCAAGGTCTGAAACTCTGCTTGGTAGGCTTACAGTCTTGAATTTTGAAAATAAACCTGAAATTAATCTCTCTCAAGAGAAGATATTTATAAACCAAACTCTGAAGAGATTGTCAGAATAAGAAGTACTTTACCTGAGCCCACGGGTTTGAGATCCGCCTGGGCAACTTGGTGAGACCTCATCTCTACAATAAATCAAAAAAATTAGCCGGGCATGGTAGTGTGCGCCTGTAGTTCCAGCTACTTGGAAGGCTGAGGCAGAAGGATTGCCAGAGCCCAGCAGGTCGAGGCTGTGGTGGCCGGGAGCGGCCACTGCACTCCATTCTAGGCGACAGAGTGAAACTCCAACTCAAAAAAAAAAAAAGAAATACTTTAGAATGACTATTTATTTGCAATGGTAAATATAACGGTCACTAGCATGCTTGTTTCAGCAGGGCCAGCTCAGGCCCACTTTGTATGCAGGTCCTTTTATGAAGACTGATTATCAGCAGGTTTCCTGGTCGGTTCACCTGATGCCACTTTGTATGACTTGCAACAGGGATGAGGCTGTGAGCCAGGGCTCCCTCTTCCTCAGAACATGTTTTTGTCTCTGGTTTGCTTCTGTTCTTCCTTAGCTGTAGGGACAGTATCTGAGTCCCTACCCTTTCCTACAAACTTTCTTTCTTTCAGACAATAGCCTGGAGCTATTGTCTCATTAAGTGGCTTTGCACATCTTAGCAGATTTTTTAGTGGAAGGGGAACCTTATTAACACATCCTTGGGGCCTAGGTCATTGTTGCCAGACCAAGCTACAACAGCAGTTCTTAAAGCTGTCTGACCCCAAGCCACCTTGTTGTAATGAATATTTTTTAGCACCTCCTTTATTATCCAGAAGTGAATTTATATGTAAGGTAACTTAAAAAATACATATGTATGAATTGCCCAAACTGAAATGTAAAGGAAAATTACAGGGAAAGTAAATAATAATAAGTATGTATTTCAATATGTAAATACTTGGGCACACCTACTTTAGAGGATGGCATGATATTTTTAGATATTGCTATATATAGAATCACTGGATGTGACTGCTGCAGATGCAGATCCATATATCCCACAGGTGGAATCGCCCCTGTGAGGTGACATTTCAGAATGATGATCAATCCTTGGTAAAGTTCTTAACTAAACAAAGCAGTCTTCTTTAATTTTACACAGTACTTGTAGTCCTGAGAAAGTCAGTATATAATAAGACTGCATAGGCAAACCCATTGCTTATACAATTAGCAGTTATAATTATCATCATTTTGCCAATCTAGTTTACTATATACCCATCCCACTTTTCTTCTTCTCTGGCTATAGTATTTTTAAATGAATGATAGACATATTTCATCTGTATCTAGTTCAGCATTCCAGCCTGCTTGTAATTTGTGGCAGCACTTGTGTGGTCCAGGGACTATTGTGTTACATTACAGTGGTAGAATTTTTCAGAGCTAATCCAATAGTTTGTGTTTACTCTAAGATAGTCTAGTAGATCCTAATATTCTTAGTCTTAACCTTGTAGGTTTCTTATTTTGGATTCTGCTGCTAATAGTTGAGTTTGAATTCAGCTGACTGAAGGGTGAGACCTGATTCCCTAGGGGAATATCCCTTGGCCTTTATCTTGATGTTAGATTTGACAGAGCATCTTAAAAATAAGGCATCTTTATGCACAGTGACAGTTTATCCATCATTTACATACTTGGATTTTATAAATGTTTAAAACTTGCTTCTTGTAGGCACCAAAACTTTTTAAATTATTTTTTTACAGAGCTATTTTTCTCAATGGCCTTGGGATATCATTGGAAATGTTAGTTATGCTGACCTGTAGTGGGTTCATTTTTATATATTGTTCTTTACCTTTGGGATAAATAGCTCCTTATTACTTTGCTTTTATAGTTTTTCATTTCTGCCTTATACTGTGGCCTACTTCTCTCACTCTTGCCCAGGTTGGAGTACAGTGGCACGCTCATGGCCACCGCAACCTCGACCTGGGCTCAGGTGATCTTTCCGCCTTAGCCTTCCAAGTAGCTGGAACTACAGGTGCATGCCACAATGCCCAGCTAATTTTGTGATTTATTGTAGAGAGAGGTCTCACCAAGTTGCCCAAACTGGTCTTGAACACCTGGACTCAGGCAATCCTCTTACCTAGGCTTCCCAAAATGCTGGGATTACAGGCTGTGGCCTACTTCTTAATTTTGCATTGTTTTATCTAGACTTTTCTGAGTTGGAGTCTCACTCTGTTGCCCAGACTGGAGTGCAGTGGCCGCTCCTGGCCACCGCAGCCTCGACCTGCTGTTCTCCGGCGATCCTTCCGCCTCAGCCTTCCAAGTAGTCGGAATTAGAGGCATGCGCTACCACACCTGGCTGATTTTTTGATTTATTGTAGAGATGAGGTCTCGCTGCCCAGGCGGGTCTCGAACCCGTGGGCTTAGGCAATCCATTCGCCTCAGCCTCCCAAAGGCGCGGGATTACAGGCTGAGCCACCGAGCCTGGTTTATCAGCAGTTCTTAAACTGCAATACCCAACCCCAAGTCCCCAGGGGGAGGATTTCCAGGGTGTATGCTGCGTCAGTGGTTGTGAGGGAATACATTTCCAGATCAGTCCTTCCTGAAACTACCTGAGAACACACTTATGGTCACTATGGCCACTTTCCCACTTCACACAAAAAGAGGCAGGCCTTCACCTATCCTAATCATCTTACAGTGCATGGCACAGGCTCTGAAAATCACCAGATGAAAGGACAACTTAGAAATACTGGTTTTAGTGAACCTTCCCTTAGTGCTCAGTCATGGAACCATGGGCTATGAGGGGCTTCTCGGTGTCACTGTTGAGAATAAAGCTTGGCCCACATGAAGGTGTTCTGAGTTCAGAAGCAGCAAAGCCAATACAGGTTCCTGATGCTGACCCATTTCTTAAATTCAACTGGAATTTTCCCAGAACTATTAAAAAATGTGAAGATCTGTTGGATAAAGCACATGGATAGAAACGTTAAGTGCTTTCTTTCAGATTTGGTGCAGTTTATTCAATAGGCTAGTTAAAACCTTTGGCAAAATATCAGATCATCTTGAAATAATTATCCCAAGTACAGCCAATCTTTATTTTATAAAATGTTTAATATTCCTGCCTTCACAGAAAATATGCTTATTTTAAGTTATGTTGAAAAATTGTGGATATCATCTAAAATGATAATGGGAGCAATGAGTTTCATTGTCTGAAATTCATTTAAGATATACATGGCAAAAATAGTTTGAAGATCATTAGCTTGGAATATGAGTTGCAGGAGAACAAAGACTGCATTTCTCTTTTTCATTGTTATTTCCTCAGTACCTTGCACTGTCTCTGCACAAAACAGATTCTCAATAAATATTTGATGAATGAATTGATGGATGAGTAATGAGCATATATATATATATGTATGTATGTTTCAGTTGGCTGAAGTTTCTGGAAGTCAGCTAGCTCCCAGAATGTAGTAATGGAAGCATTATTATATTTTTCGATGGTATTTTGATAAGTAGAACTATCAGGATAATGATGAGTAAAAAATATAAATTACTCAGAAAGGTATAATTAATTTGTTTTATAACTAATCTGAGTTTTGGAATTTATGAAAAGATTATCAGGCAGTTAGAAATAGTTTTTATGGTTTACAAATATTTTATCTATTGCGCTTCACTTAAAAAAAAAAACTCATGAATTTAGACTTGGCTGAGTTTAGAATTCAGGAAGGGAATGTATGAGAGGCTGACTATGCCCTGGATGAAGTGGCAATGGTGGGGTGGGTTGTGTGACAGTTTCCCTGCCCCTGTAATTATGAGGTCAACTATAATAAATATGTAAACCTAGATTTTAAATGTCCGTACTTTTTTTTTTTTTAATATGGTAGTGCTTCATTCTGAAATTGAGTTTTTCACCTTTGGCATTATTCTTCTTTATTTCTATTACTTGAATACTCATACGTGTAATCTGAATATTATAAAATTGGTTGTAACAGAGCCTTTTAATGTCTAGGAACAACACTAGTAAAATAATGTTTTTCTAATTATAAATTAAAAATACTTTTTGATTTTAGTTCATCTTTTCTTTTTCAGCCTTCTTGGGTGATTTTGTCCGTTCAGTGTGGAGCTCTTCTGCCGTATCCTTTTTTTGAGGGAGGGGAAGATGGAAAGGATAACTCTGGGTTTAAGATTGAAATGATAGTTAATGAATGAGAAGTGGATTTATCAGTTAGGGCAAATTGTTTTGTCTGCATCCTATAACCATACTATTTTCTTTTCCTTTTCTTTTTTTTTGAGTTGGAGTCTCACTCTGTTGCCCAGACTGGAGTGCAGTGGCCGCTCCCGGCCACCACAGCCTCGACCTGCTGGGCTCCGGTGATCCTTTTGCCTCAGTCTTCCAAGTAGCTGGAACTACAGGTGCACGCTACCACGCCCGACTAATTTTTTGATTTATTGTAGAGATGAGTTCTTGCCAAGTTGCCCAGGCGAGTCTCGAACCCGCGGGCTCAGGCAATCCACTCACCTCAGCCTCCCAAAGGCGCGGGATTACAGGCTGAGCCACCGAGCCCGGCTAATCCTGCTATTTTCTATCCTTAATCAAATTTTATGTACCTGATACTTGTCATTACCCATATATAAAAAAAGGAGAACCAGAAATTACTGGTAGGAGACCAGACTGGGAGCTGGAGGCATGAGTTCTGATTCTTTTTAACTTTTGTGGCACTAGCTAGATGAAAAGTATTTCTAAAATTCTAAGTCTAGGCCGGGCACAGAGGCTCACGCCTATAATCCCAGCACTTTGGGGGGCCGAGGTGAGAGGATTGCCTGAGCCTGCAGGTTTGAGACCAGCCTGGGCAACTTGGCAAGATCTCACCTCTCCAATAAATCAAAAAATTAGCCAGGCATGGTGGCACATGCCTGTAGATCCGCTACTTGGAAGGCTGAGATGGAAGGATCACCGGAGCCCAGTAGGTCGAGGCTGGGGTGGTCGTGAGTGTGTCACTGTACTCCAGCCTGGGTGACAGAGTGAGACCCCCAACTAAAAAAAAAAAATTCTAGTATTTCTCATCTGTAGCCTAAAGAGTTGAAGAAAATCAGTTCCTGGTTTTATTTTGTTGCTTTTTATTTTGTTTTTGTTTTCTTTATAAGCATAGGTAAAAAAAGATTGAAAGTGGGATGGGTATTTTGGAAGACATAAGAGGCTAGTTTTGCTTTTCTAGATCATTTACACTCCACACAAGACTTCTTTAAGAAGCTGTGAGCTTTTTGAGCTTTTACTTTCCTATTCGTAAGTAGCCTAAAGGATCCAGAAAAGGGAGCCCCTGAGGCTCTCTGGTAGACAGTGCACTCGGCAATTTGCCTTTATTAATGTTTCCATATCTTTGGAAGTAGAAAATCCCTGAGGTATGGTAGGAAGATGGAAATAGATCTTGGATAATGGGGCTTACAGGCACTATATTGGAGTCTACAGAGTTTGTTACAATCAGGGAATTCTCAAATGTTTATAAGATTTGTCAATATACCTGTATAGGAGATTTCAAAATTGTAAGAGTTTTCATTCTGATGTTTTTCTTAATTCACCTGTTTCAATAGATATATTTTTCTCAGTAGGGAAAGAGAATTAATACTTTAATCCATTTTAAATTCTGTATATTCCAAATTGTTCAAAAAAGCCATTGTGCTTGCTTTGAATTGACTGAAGTACAGGCACATAGAAATCATGTTTGCCTTATGTTTAGTTGCATTCCTAGTGTCTGGCGCATAATAAGCTCTCAGTGATCATCTTGAATGGATTTTAAAAACCAGCTTTAGAACTAGGAAGGATCTTGGGATTTATATATTCCAACTTTTGTTTTAAAAAAAGAAACAAGATCACAGTATTTTTGCCTAAGTTCACAAAGTTAGTGGTGACAAAACTTGAACTCAGATAAGCCCCTTTTATTTACTTATTTATTTATTTATTGTTGTGGGTTGGAGTCTCACTCTGTCGCCCAGGCTAGAGTACAGTGGCATGCTCACGGCCACCGTGGCCTTGACCTCCTGGGCTCAGGCAATCCTTCCGCTTCAGCCTTCCTAGTAGCTGGAACTACAGGTACATGCCACTGTGCCCAGCTAATTTTTTGATTTATTGTATAGATGAGGTCTCACCAAATTGCCCAGACTGGTGTCAAATCCATGGTCTCAGGCAATCCTCTCACCTCCCGAAGTGCTGGGATTATAGGTTGAGCCACTGCGCCTGGCCCAGATAAGCTCTTTTATGAAGGATTCTTTCTACTGGGCAAAAGAAGCAGTCATGTTAATGTTTCATTCTAAAATAAACTTAAGACATTTTAAATTTGTTTTTAAAATAATACTTATGTATATGTGTGTATGCATGTGTGTTTATGTATGTATGTACGTATAGTTAGCTAGCTATCAGAGGTCAAATGTTTTCCCCCATGAGTATATTATGCCCATTTGATTATGATATAAATGGAAAGATTGGATGTTAAGATGTACTTTACAGAAAATCACTTAATTTTTTCTGTGCCACCCACTTTGTTTTATTCCAGTCTGCCCAGCACTCTTCTTTAGCCATCTTAAGTTTGTCTCTTTCCTAAGTGGACTGAGTGGGAGGGTGGGGTTGGGTAATGTCTGTTACTGAAATACAGGCTGCACTAATCTTATTTCATTGTAATCTTAATAACTATAAAACAGAGTAAATGGTTTTTCTCCAGAGTCATGTCAGATATTTTTTGGAATCACTGCCTGTCTTTCTCAGGTAAGCATGGTTACAGTTAGTGTTGTGTTATTTACACATGGTAGTTCTGAATTTCTATTTGATAGGATTTATGTCCTGTTTCTTAGCCAGTTTTAGAGAAGCTACTTACTAAACTGACTGTATATTCAAATGAACTTATGACACACTTATAATTATTTAAATATTTGTGCTTTTAAAAGTTTTTAATGGGTGAAAATGGTCTTTCTAATTTTGAAAATTACAAAGATTTAAAACTTGAGTATGAAAAAAATATTAAAAATGAAATTAAAAGATGACAAGGAAAATTCAGTCAGAAATAATGACAAATAATTTCTTAACAAATAAAGGGCTTATGCATACCAATCAATAAGAAAAAAATAAGACCTTAGCAGATAGGGCAGAGAAATTATTTTTTTTTTTTTTTTGAGTTGGAGTCTCACTCTGTTGCCCATGCTAGAGTGCATGTGCACACTCATAGCCACTGCAGCCTCAACCTGCTGGACTCAGGCGATCCCCCTAAGTCTTCCAAGCAGCTGGAGCTACAGGCATGCAGCACCACACCCCACTAGTTTTTCTTGACTTATTGTAGAGACGTCTTGCCAAAGTTGTCCAGGCTGGTCTTGAACTCCTGGACTCAGGCGATCCTCTTGCCTCTGCCTCCCAAAGTGCTGGGATTACAGGCGGGAGCCACTGTGCCCAGATGAGAAATGAATTTATAACCTATAAAGAGCTTATACAAATAATAGGTATAAAAAACCTTTCGCATACTTTAGAATCAAAGATGAGAACATTTTAATAGCCATGACATAATTTTTGTTTGTCAAATTTGTAACAATGTATTTAATGCTGGTGGAGATACTGAAGACAAACTCTCCTACTTACTGCTTTTAGGAGTATAAATTAGTGTAACTTTTCTAGAAAAGATGAGTAGAGTCAAGATTGCCTGAGCCTGCGGGTTCGAGACCTGCCTGGGCAGCGAGACCTCATCTCTACAATAAATCAGTGATGGAGGGTGTGGTAGTACGCGCCTGTAATTCCTGCTACTCGGAAGTCTGAGGCGGAAGGATCACCGGAGCCCAGCAGGTCGAGGCTGCGGTGACCGGGAGCGGCCACTGCACTCCAGTCTGGGTGAAGGAGTGAGGCTCCAACTCAAAAAAAAAAATAGATAAATAAAAGAGCCTTAAAGTACTCATTTTGTTTTTCCCTGCAGTTCTTTTATATTTAGAAATTTGACCCAAGTTTATAGAAGTAAGGACAGATTGATGCATAAAGGGATTCGTAGTTATTTATAAACATTATTTATGAGATGGTGAAATTAGATACAATAAGATCATTCACTATTTGGAAAGGTTTAGGAAATCTGTGATATATACTTATGTGATAGTCTGTCTGTATAGTTGTTTTTGAATTGTGTTTTATGAAAATATGTAAAGACATGGGAAATGCTTTAAGTGGAAAAATGCAGGATAAAACATAGGTATATATATTATTACATCGGTCAAATGAAATATATAAGAAGTATCTGAAATGAAGGACCAAAATGTTAACAGTGGCTAATTCTGGATAGTAAGAGAATATTTAATATTTGTTTATTATATTTTTGTCCTTCTAAGGAAAGACCTTAAACCATAATAAAAACTATTATTAAAAAAAACAAGCTGGTATTGCTTAAATTTATTTTCTTTTTTTCTTTTTTAATTTTTTATTTTTTTGAGTTGGAGTCTCACTCTGTCGCCCAAACTGGAGTGCAGTGGCCATTCTCGGCCACTGCAGCCTCGACCTGCCGGGCTCCGGCGATCCTTCCGCCTCAGCTTTCCGAGTAGCTGGAATTACAGGCACGCGCTACCATGCCTGGCTGATTTTTTTTATTTATTGTAGAGATGAGGTCTCACCAAGTTGCCCAGGTGGGTCTCGAACCTGCAGGCTGAGGCAATCCACTCACCTCAGCCTGCCAAAGCGCGGGATTACAGGCTGTGCCACCGAGCTCATCTTAAATTTATTTTCAAATTACATGAAATAATTTGTTTAAAATTAGTGGTCCTTAGAGAGGAAAAAGTACACTGTAGGGTATCCCATCTCATTGAACCTGACAGGCCTCATTCCAGGCTGTCATTTTGGGGCTCATAGGTGATATTTTTGAGAAAGTATTGAGTCCTCCATCTCTATGCAAGCCTTTGAGAAAGGGGCCTATCAAAGATATTAGGTAAGACGGAAAGAAATTTGATTATAAACTCATTTTTCCTTATGTCTTTTGTGATGGAGGGTTAGAGAGTGCTTGGTTTAGCATTACTAGGTTATTGCCAAGTCTCAACTGTGAAGACAAAGAATATTACCAGTCTGATTTTTTGAATTTGATTCCTCCTCTGTTCAGACAATAAGTAAGTTAATCTGTGGTTACTGTGTTTTTGTTTCTGTCTCTTGTAAAGACTGGAAGTTCTTTAAAATACTCTCTTTGTTTTTGCTACTTCAGTTTGATGGGAGATCCTTAAAATAGCAAAATTGGCTCTTTTTCCTCTTTAACAGTAATTTTGTTGTTTTTTGTATTTTACAATGTTTTTTCGTGTCTGTTATAAGTGTTTACATGAATGATTTTTAAAGTTGGCTAAAATGAATTTAATGCTGGGTGCTATGGTTATATGTAACTTTTATTGTTTTCCTTATACTTCTCTGTATGTTCCAAATTTACAATCAGCGTATCCAGAAAAGTTTTAAAAATGAACATTTTATTACTACTTATTATCAACACAGTGTACTTTGGCTAAAATGTGAATTTTTCCTTTAATTATATTTGCATTGATTGGATTTCTGGATTTCAGAGATCAGAGCCCACTATCCAGAAAGAATTCAAATTGAAAGAGAAAGGGAGAGAGGAAGAAGGGTCATGCTGAGTTTGGAACAGGGGCAGGGTGTCCTGTGGGCATTTTTCAGAGATTGAGGCCACAGTGACATGGGATTTCACAGACTTGATTTGGTGAAATAAATAAGAAACTCAAAAGCATGTGAGTATAAGATGATTACAGGGTTTTAAATTAGGTAATTAGATATTGTTAATTATTAACTATGAGTTTAGCACCAGAGAATACTGTTAGTTTTGCAGATAACATAGTTTAACAGAGGTTATAATATTTGTAATAGATTGTTTTATAATACACATAATGAATGAGGTTAAAATATACATGTACATACATGATACGTGTATGGCAGTATGCTAACTCAGGGCACAGGTATAACTGCATGAGTTAAGAAAGAAGGGAATCAGTCTGACTGAGCTCGGAAAGCCTTGATAACAGAAGATGTGAGATCTGAGTGCTTAAAGTATGGGCGGAATTGGAGGAAACGGGGAAGGGAGCAGTGTGTTTCAAATGGAGCAAAGGGGAAGGAGAAATCAGGAATGCACAAGAGGCTGGTTAGGAGGAGACTGATGTCAGAACCAAAGTTATGCATTTGGGTGTAGAAGAAAAAATGGTCGGTTAGCTAGACAGATAGAGATGATAGAAATCTGAAAACTGAGGTTTATGAGTTTGCACTGGGTAAAATAGGCAGCAGAATACTTCTTCACTTTTTTCCTTATATATTTAACTTTGGATTATAAATGTTTATAGCAGGAAAAAAGCAAACAAAATTAAAATCACTTGTGACTGTTGGAAGAAAAACTGATCTGGGAGCTCTGAGTATGACATGTAGGGCAGGGCAGAGGCTGGAGTTTTGACAAGTTGGAGATTGGATTCGGGTTAGCAGATACAACATGGAAACTAGCAGCAGATGGGACTCAGCAGGTCTTGGTGCCTTGGGATGCCGTTGTGCAGAGAAAGAGAAGCCAGCACTTACTGTGTACCCTGACGGTTGGATGCTTTCACATGGGGATCTGAAGCCATCGTGTCACTGTTTCAGATGAGGAGCAACAGTAAAGTGTTAGCATCGCTGATGGGGTAGGATGTAGAAAGGAGCCTGGTTTGTGAAGGAAAATGATGACAGTGGTTAAAACACTGTTTTGGTCGTCGATACGTTATTCAAGTGTAGGGACTGAGAGATACTGTGGCATGAAGGAAATTCCCACAGAACATAATAGAGGAGCAGATAACCAGGAATAAAGCCTTGGGTAACAAAGAAATTAGGGGAGAAAGAAAAAGGAGCTTGAAAATAAATAGGAGACATGTTGGAGGCGTAGGATTTTATTTTTAGAAGTCAAGAATAGAGTCAGGCTTAATCATTTTAGTTTTTATTGATGGGAATACATCCCAGGTAAAATTTAAGAACATAAATTGATAGGAGATAGCTGTACCTGGGCCTGTTCTGTGACCCAGGAGGAGAAGGGTAAAAAGGATAATGGAAAGTGATACAGGAGTATTGCTTGGTTCAGTAAGCATCACACATGCTTAGTGGTCTAAGTAAGTACATTTGGGGTTCTGGGCTAAGACACCAGTGTAGTCAGTGTGGTGGCAGGGGGATGGGAATTCCATGAAGAAGCTAGGTGAGCAAGTTGTGACCAGAGAATATGAATGTCTAGATTCTTGGTTCAGTGACCTGGGAAGGGACCCTGCTGGTAACAAACTGAGCAGAAGTATTGCTCACTTACTTTCAGGTGAAAGGTAAAATTGTATCTAGGTGCTAAACTCATCAGTGGGAGTGACTGGATCTATGGTGGACAAAAAGTGAATTTATTGGCAAGATCTTCGGTAGTATTTTATATCCTTTTAGCAAATTCATTAGGTTAGAAAAATCCGAATCCAGAATCAGTATGATCTTTATGGATCACTTACTATACTTAATATCACAATTCATCACTTGCCATGATGAATTGAAATCCTCTGTGTGTCATGGAGTAAATAAAAAGCACTTCTTTAAGTTCAGAAACATTGTTCAAATAGGGCCAGGGAAGACTTTGCTAGTCACTTATATGAAGAAACCCTGGAAATTGTAGTTTAAGAAAAGTGCATTGGGAGCGCTAATATTTTGTGGTTGCTTAAACATGTTAATTTGGTTTTAAGATGTATTAACAAACATGTACAGTGTGCAGCTCAGGGACTTTGGTTCAACAAATCCTTGATGACTACTTTGTGACAGGAACAATGCAAAGGGGTACAAATTAATTAAGATGGGGTTTCTCCCTCAGTAAATATGCAGTCTAGAAGGGGACAGAATGTGAGCAAATATGGTGTGTTGCAACACGTGCAAAAATGAAAGTGGGTACCAGAAACAAACAGGAGTGAATGGTCACCATGGTTAGCCTGCACTGACTGGAGACTGTTGGAGGGATCTGCACCTTTTTTGCACACTGGAACACCTAGGTGCACACATGCTCACATGCATATGCCAGGCAGGACCCCACCTTTACAAAAGGACTGTTTGCTTGGTGGTTCTCAGTGACCTTCTGTCTTTTCCCCGTCAGGGTGTTGATACAAGCTGGAGCTCTTTGTTGGAGTCTTCCAGAGCTCTCCCAGGGAGAGGTAGGGAAGGGAGCTTGTGCCAGCAGAAGTTGGGAAGCACAGAGATCATCTGCCTTCTTCTGACCCGGTATTGATGCAGGCTGAGGCCTCTGTTGTAATGTGCTGGGTAGGTTTTGGGGAATAGGTCAAGAGTCTAATGGAGAGCCTGGCCAGGTCATGATTTAAATCTAGAAGACTAAGAAGTCCTTTTCATTCTGTATCTCAATCAACAGTATTTCTTGACTGCCTACCCATGTGCCTTGCACTGTACTAGGTACTGTGAAAGTTCTCAAAGAAGTTTAGGACATAATTTTAATGTCAGACTCTCTAATAAATAGTGTTATAGTTCATAATCAAGTCTGGACAAGGAGACAATCATGCAAGCTAGAATTGAGTGTTGAATTGGGGTGGTGAGACCTGAAGGAGAAGGGAGAGTGTTCCTGATTGGTTTAAAGGAAATCTTTTATTCCTGGGGGCACAGAGATGAAATTCTAGTCCTCTGCTCCTAGTTGCTTTAGAGTATGGGGGGTGGGAACGACAAATAAGCAGACAGTTAGAGTGTGAGAACTAGAGTTCTGTCCAGCTTGCTGTGAGTACAATGGTAACGACACCTGAGGTGATGAGTCTTAGAGTAGGAGCTGCTGAGGGCTGGGTAAGGCCTGGATACAGGGAAGGCAGAACTTGTTTGAGGACTTCAGGTGCATGTGGAGCAGCACTGATGACTAGGAGGAGGCGGTCAGAAGCCAGACAGACCAGGGAGGACCTGGACACCATGGGGGAGTTTTTGGATATTAGATATGGCATTGAGAAGACAGCAAAGCTCTATTAGCCAACATGATAACATTGGTATTTTAGAAAGATTGTTTTAAAAAAGAAAAGCATGTTTCCCTAATTATAAAATTAATGCTTTTGAAAATTTGGAAAATACAGAAAAGTATAAAAATGAAATTAAAATGTCCCCTTAATCCTACCACCACTAAGTAACTTGTTAACATTTTGGTGTGGAAAGAGCATTCTTCATTATTAATTATGCTGCTGGAGATTCATTAAATGAGCTGGTGTGGATGATCAAAGTCATTTAATCCAAATGTTCATCAATGAAGAATCTGGGTCATGGAAGTTTTCCAAGTTGACATAAGCTAGTTATTGGAGACACTGTTAATTCCAGGTCTCCTCCATTCCTCTTTATCTGATGTTCTTTCCACAGCAATATACTGCACCCTGTTAAGGTCTGTGCCTGTGATGAGGCCAAACAGGGTATAGGAAAGACGAGATTTACTGTAGTCAGTGAAATAAAAATAATATGTAACTGACAGCCAAATCTTGGTAATAAAGGCATATCTAGATAATGTTTTTAATTTCATTTTTAATAAAGATTACATAATGATTCATTGGATTAATCTGTATTATCATATAATTAAATCTCAACTCTCCAAATGCTTCAGGATATAAATGTTTTTGTGAAAGCCTCTAATAAAAATAACCTGGTCCAATCTTCTGAAATGTGACATTGACTTACTAAATTAGCAAGATACAAAATAATGATTTGAAAGTCATTTTAGAAGGCTAACATGTTCTTGTTAATATTCATAGGGTAATATGGAATACAAACAATTTCTAGAAATATCTGTAAAATGGATGAGAGTAGATGGAGAATGTTAGATTACTGACAACCTTTATACTGGCAATTACAAATAAATTAACATGCTATTTATCAATACTTTAAAAAATTAACTTGAAATAAAATTCAGGATTCTTCAACAACCATAATCCTCAACTTACAGTAAATTTGTCAAGAAAAAATTTAATTGGTTAAATGATTATTTTAGAATTAATGCTCACATCTTTATTTTTCTTAAATGTTTCTTTTGTTTTTCAGACTCTAAAATTTTATTTTTTTAGAAATTATTTTTGACTTTCCCAATAGTAACTGCCCCTAGAGAAGTAGTATAGAACAGTAGAAAAAAATACCATTTGGAGTTAGACCTGGGTTTAGACAGACCTGGGTTTTGAAAGCCAGCTTTCTAATTATTAGGTATAATTTAGTTTGTTTCCTTATCTTTAACATGGGGCTAATGATTCCTATTTCACATGGCGGTTGCAAGGATTAGGCATATATATAAAGCACTTGGCACAGTTCCTGGCACATAGTAGGCAGGCAATAAATGGTAGCTGTTTTTATTGTTACAGTGAAAGCCTGTTTTACAACATAAGCCATTATACCTGGAGTCTTCATCACTATGCAAGCATAAGAATTCTTTCTTTTATGCTTGCCTTATTTCTTTTTTGTGTGTTAAATAATATTTACATTTTTCCCTGAACTTATAAGCCACCATATTTTTTATCTTTCTTTTTATTTTGTCCATTTCACAATTAATATTTGTTATCCATTAGCGTAAAGGTACTCCTCAAATATAGTTTTTATATTGCTATTATATTTAAACATTTTCATAGATATAGAAATGGAAGCTTGAATGGTATACTAGCTCTTTCTGCTTTTTTTCCCCTGCTGTTTTTGTTACAGACTGAAATAATCCTCCATTCAGTCTTTCGGAATGTGGAGATAAATTTTTTTATTCATTTGGTGACAAGGCAAAAATAAGTGATTTATATCTGTAAAACTATTCTGATAGGAATAAAATATTATAATAAACTAATAGCTAAAAGCTTCTCTATTTTTTTCTACTAATATTAGGTTAATTGTATTTCATAAGTGATAAAAGTAGATAAAGCAAAATTGTTGCATTGTATTCTAATAAAGTAAAAATATAGACCATGCACAGATTGAAATGTATGGTAAAATCTTATTTCTAACTTTCCATCAGGTATCATCTGAAGACAGAAGTGCCCTGTGGGCCTTGGTTACATTCTACGGGGGGGATTGCCAGCTGATCCTTAATAAGAAATGCACACATTTGATTGTTCCAGAGCCCAAGGGGGTAAGCATGTCAAATGCATTCTCCTTTTTATATATTTAGGTATTTTCAGTAGTCAAATGTCTTTTTTTAGCTTCTTTTGAATTAATTATTAGATCCCACTTACAAGGAGTGATTATGTTGGTTTATATTATTTACATCCAACTTCAGTCCACAAAACGTAAGATGATTGTAAATTATATTAAAAGCCAAATATGACTTCTAAATACAATGAAATAGGACTTCATTTCATGGGGAAATGAAAAGGAAAGTTTTACTAATCTCTAGAATTTTCTCTCACATCTAGTAAAACATTGTGAAAAAATATTTTTAGTTTCTTTCATAATTTTTTTTTTGAGTCAGTCTCAACTTGTTACCCAGACTGGAGTGCAGTGTCATGTGCACGGCTACCACAGCCTCTACTTGCTGGATTTAGGCAATCCTGCCTCAGCCTTCCAAGTAGCCGGAACTACAGGCATGCGCCACCATGCCTGGCTAATTTTTCTTGATTTATTGTAGAAATGAGGTCTCACCAAGTATGTCAGGCTGGTCTTGAACCCCTGGGCTCAGGCAATCCTCTTGCCTTGGCCTCCCGAAGTGCCAGGAATGGGTATGAGCCACTGTGCCTGGCCTTTCACAATTTTTTTAAAAGACCTTGTACCAATTATAATTATAAACATTCATTTGGTGAAGTTTTTGATATATTTCCTTCTTAATAATCTAGAATATATAAAAATGCTACGTTTGTCTTGATAGGTGCTCTCATATCTAATCCTTGGTATGACTGTATGGATTTTGTTTCTACAAGTGTGGTCTCTGAGTTGGCAGCAGTTGCATCCACGAGGACTTCTTAGAAATGCATATAGTTCACTCCCTTCCCAGACTTCCTAAATCAGAACTTAGTGGTGGAGGGCAAGAGGAGAGCCCAGCACACTGTTTGATCCAGCCCTCTAGTGAATGATTCTGATACATACTAAAGTTTGAGAACCACTATTCTATGGAAGTTAAATTTTTCTCTCCCATGAACATTCTTTACTTTGAGGATCAAGTGTAGTATATTTATGGTAGAAAAGTCTTTTGACTAGCTAAGTTTTCTCACGTCCATCATTACCTTCATATTTTTTTAATTGCTGTCCATCTGAATCAATATTGTCATCATATTATTTCGTCTGAGTGTATGGAGTCACAATATAGAAGGAAATGGAGTCTATGGTATAGGCATTGAAGTAAGGTGTAGAATGGAAGGCTGGTACAGAACTTGTGCTTCCAAGAGTGCTCTATTTTATACCATCTTTGAACCTAATCAGAAGTGATTCATATATGTATGCTATTCATTATGCTAGTTTTCAGACAGTAACCTAGTTGCTTGTTTTTGTTTGTTTTTGGTTTTTTTTGAGTCAGAGTCTCACTGTCATTCAGGCTGGAGTGCAGTAGCATGCTACTCATGACCACCGCAGCCTTGACCTGCTGGGCTCAGGCAATCCTTCTGCCTCAGCCTTCCAATTAGCTAGAACTACAGGCATGTGCTACCATGCCCAGCTAATTTTTTGATTAATTGTAGAGACGAGGTCTCACCAGGTTGCCCAGGCTGGTCTCAAACCCATGGGCTTAGGCAGTCCTCTCACCTCAGCCTCCCAAAGTACTGGGCCACTGCACCCAGCTAATAACCTAGATTTTAAGCTGGTGAGATTGGTTGTAACTTAGCATTAGTAAGGCACACTATTCGAGGAGAAACTCCTTCTGTGAAAATTTATGATGTAATTCTCAAAATTTAATTAAGAAATTTATATTTTGCATAACAATTTAAGTGATGAATAGTGTATTTTGGTTAAACCCATTGGTTCTTTTTATATCAATATTGGTTTATAGCTAAAAGTAAATCATTTCATTTTACATAGCTAGTTTGAAGGGGAAATGACATCTTTCATAACTTTTTTTTTTTGAGTTGGAGTCTTACTCTGTCGCCCAGGCTGAGGTGCAGTGACACATTCACAGCCACCCCAGCGTCAACCTGCTGGGCTCCGGTGATCCTTCTGCCTCAGCCTTCCAAGTAGCCAGAACTACAGGCTCATGGTTCCACACCCAGCTAATTTTTGATATATTGTAGAGGTGAGGTCTTGCCAAGTTGCCCGGGCTTGTCTCGATCCCATGATCTCAGGCAGTCAACTCGCCGTGGGCTTAGGAAATCCACTTGCCTTGGCCTCCCAAAGTGCTGGGATTATAGACTGAGCCACTGAGCCCAATCTTTATAACTTTTTTAACTGAGTGAATACTTCTTTTTTTGAGTTGGAGTCTCATTCTTATCCAGGCTGGAGTGAAGTGGCAAGTTCACAGCCACGACAGCCTCAACCTGCTGGACTCGGAATCATTCTGCCTCAGCCTTCTGTGTAGCTGGAACTACAAGCACATGCTACCACACCCAGCTTATTTTTTGATTTATTGTAGAGATGAAGTCTCACTAAGTTGCCTAGGCTGGTCCCGAACCCCTGAGCTCAGGCAATCCTCTTACCTTGGACTCCCAAAGTGCTGGGATTACAGGTTTGAGCCACTGTGCCCAACCTGAGTGAATACTTCTAAAGAGTCAGAATTATAATTTAAGAGGCAGTATATAAGTAGAGTGGATTTTTCAAAGCTTTTTATGAATTGTGATTTGACTTTAATTCTAGAGCCTTAATTTAAGAATTTTTTTCCCCTCCCAAAATATTTTGTTGATAAATCCTTAGTAACTCTAGGTTTCAGGATATAAACATATTTTAAAGTACATATTTACTTTGGAGTAATTTTTTTTTTTTTTTTTTTTTTGAGTTGGAGTCTCACTCTGTCGCCCAGACTGGAGTGCAGTGGCCGCTCCCGGCCACCGCAGCCTCGACCTGCTGGGCTCCGGCGGCCCTTCCGCCTCAGCCTTCCCAGTAGCCAAAATTACAGGCATGTGCTACCACGCCCGGCTGATTTTTGATTTATTGTAGAGATGAGGTCTCGCTGCCCAGGTGGGTCTCGAACCCGCGGACTCAGGCAATCCACTCACCTCAGCCTCCCAAAGGCACGGAATTATAGGCTGAGCCACCGAGCCTGGCTTGGAGTAATTTTTTAAGGGTATAGCTAAAAATGGAATATTTTAAAAATATTTATTTGAAAGAAAATTATATCTAAGACAAAAGATCTTAGATAAATGCTCAAATATATAAATGCCCTAATAGGTCTTTATTTATCCCAACAAAGAGGCACTTAAAAGAAATTATTTTGCATTTTTGGTTAAAACATGCTTGTGAATATAACAACAAATATGCTTCTATAATTTTTATTTAAAGTTAATACTCCATGTATTTTATTTTATTTTATTTTATTTTATTTTTTTGAGTTGGAGTCTCACTCCGTCACCCAGACTGGAGTGCAGTGACCGCTCCCAGCCACCGCAGCCTCGACCTGCTAGGCTCCAGGGATCCTTCCGCCTCAGCCTTCCAAGTAGCCAGAACTACAGATGTGCACTACCACACCCGGCTAATTTTGATTTATTGTAGAGATGAGGTTCGCCAAGTTGCCCAGGCGGGTCTCAAACCCGCAGGCTCAGGCAATCCACTCACCTCAGCCTCCCAAAGTGCTGATATTACAGGCTGAGCCACTGAGCCCGCTTACTCCATGTATTTTAAAAGTTGATATTAAGCAAGATGTATATATACATGCATTAGGCATGTATATAAGGATTATCTTATCTACATCTATAATGGAAATATAATAGTCTTATGTAATTTATTTATTCTTCATTCTTTGAGTCGGAGTCTCACTCTGTTGCCCATTTTAATTACCCAGTTTTAAAAGAATTTATTCGGGTTAGGTGCAGTGGCTCATGCCTATAATTATAGTACTTGGGAAGGCAGAGGCTGGAGGATAGTTTGAGCCTGGAAGTTTGAGACCAGCTTGGACAGCATAATGAGATCCTGTCTCTAATAAAAGAAAAAAAAGAAGGAACTAATTCCACATAGGGAAAAACAAACTACTATTTTAGTGCTTACTGCATTTCTTCTGCAATGGTAAATAATTGTTGAAAGCAGACTTTGTATTTGCCAGTAGTAAAGATAACACTAATAGGTAGCCCTTAGTGAGCACTTACTAAATGCCAGTACACCAGGACAATGATACTCATAGCATGCTGTGAAGGAAGTACTGCTGTCACCAAGAGGAAACTGAAATATCTGCCACTTCTAATGTCTTACATGCTTTACTTTTCCTAAATAATGTTTAAGAAATTATAATGCTCAAAGTAAAGAAAAAGCAATTAATAATGAAAAGTATACAGGATTTTTGAATGTACAAGCACAACTACTCTAGAAGATAACAGTATAGTAAGATTTATATAATAGTGGAATCATTGTGAATATGAGAGCTACAAAAAAATCCTAATGTCCTCTGTGTCTGTTGTAAGGTGACTTATGATATAAAAGCCATTAAATGATGTTGCTCTTAGCAACATGGTTTTCTAATAAAATCCAATTTATAAAAATTGGATTCAAGGGATTCAAGACCAGCCTGGGCAGTTTGGTGAGGCCTCGTCTCCACAATAAATAAAAAAAGTAGCTGGGTGTGGTGATGCATGCCTGAAGTTTCAGCTACTTGGAAGGCTGAGGCGGAAGGATCGTTTGAGCCCAGCAGGTCAAAGCTGCAGTAGCCGTGATCGGGCCACTGTACTCCAACCTGTGTGACAGAGTGAGACTCTGACTCAAAAAAAAAAAAGAAATTAATGACCAATTTTTGATGAATTTTTGAAGAAGATAGAAATAATCATCCTTTGATTTTTTTTTTCCTTCCTTTTTTTGGTAGCAGTATTTCTGGAAAATTAATGTACATATATAATCTACATACTTAAAATAAAATAAATGTATACTTAAAATTAATGTATGCACTTAATGTGTATACTTTTTGATATGACTGGCGGTACATCATTGGAATGTTGTCTATGGGATAATTTCTTGACTGTGCAGCATTGTTTGGACATTCTAGGATTTGGCATTTTCTCAACACCTTTCCCC